TGTTTCTTAAACTCTATTCACATATTTAGCGCTTCCCAAGATTTCATTAAATATGTAACTATGAAACCAATATTATGCGGATTTTAAACTAAATCAAGAATACTTAAAATTACTTCATATTTTTAAATACAATTCAGGCTATATATATTTTCTTTACCAGTTACAACATTCATCAAGATTTACATGTTAGATTGTGTAAAGACGTTATCTCGATTACTCTATGATCTTGGACCTCTGGTATAAATTCTCGTGATGCTGCTGCTTTATAACTGCTATAGTGCTATTTCATTACAGTTCTTCTCATTGCCAAGAATCCAATGTAGCACGAGAGGAAAAAATGTATTAGAATAGATTGCCATGCCGTTAGAGACAACTGAAGCTGGTTCTCAATGTTCTTCATAAACGGTTAATACTTCACCTTGCATACGTATCCTTCTCCATTTCACGATCTCATTTCCAAAGTAGATGTTTTAAAAATTCAAATATCTATGCCCCATCTTGAAGGAGACTGTCAAATATATTTACTCAGAGTTAAAAGTGTAACGATAGTTAACTTGTTTGTTATACTATGATCAATTTTGTCTAATGTATTGAACGATTCTGTTCATTACTATCCAATATAATGAGAGAAATTCATCATTTTCTCAACTGATATAGTTAAATAATCAACCGCCTAAACTAAAGGATCTAACAACATCTTGGTACGCTAGCTTAAAATATACATTTAATGTCCTTATATAAATTATAACCTATTACAATAGGTAGCCATTTTAAGAAGTCTATGAGTTAAATTCGGTTGATCATTTGTCAAAATGTAATTGAGCACAACAAATTTAGCTCTTACAAAAAGCAAAAAAATTAGCTTTTACTAATCTCTGCTATTGTCCTCAACTGCCGACGATTGGTATGTACATACACAGTCCATATACGTACGCGGAACGCGATGGCTTGAACAAGCGGACGAAAACAAATAATTTTAAATACATTCTAATTATTGAGAAATACAAATGATTAGACCAATATTCTGATACTGAATAATAGAATGTTAAACTCTGTTCTTACATTAGTCGTAGTAACGACTAACGAACTATATATATAAAACAGGAACCATTAAATTATATAGTATGGACATTATTTATGTATAGATAAGAGCCCTGAAGAAATGGTGACATAAAAGAGGTAGTCACATGGGGTTTTCTGAAGCCATGTGCTGATCATGATGATAGCTTTATATAATCATTGATCTCATATCGCTATTGACATTTCTTACCATGAATTCTTTCTTTTTTCCTACTCTCTCAATATTGTAGTATTTTGATAAAAGTATAATATTAAGTGTTGACAAAAGATATACTATAATAAATTTGTAACAGCATTTATAAAAGCATCTATCTGTGTTCTTGTGAGTGTCTAATGACTTGTTTGTTAAAGTGTTGTTGTTACCCACTTTGTTCGTTTATCAAAAAAGTCAATAATTGATGATATACTTGGTAATCATTATGAAGGTGTCCCAAGTCCCGACGACCTTAACTTGTATACACTCAATTTTCTTTGGGATAATTTCCATAATGTTTGCTAATTTTACACATCAAAGGATTGACTAATGGAATGATGCTTGAACGAAAGTCATGAGAACGGAGGAAGAAAGCTTCATTACTCTCCAGGTTAATTTTAGCATGTTATTTCAGTTCTAATGCTAAAATTGATTTCTATTGATCAATAGTATTGAATAAAGATAGTATTCGACAATTTCAAAGCAACAGGGGGAATTTTAAGCACTAGAAAAGTTTACTTACGGAAATGTCAAACCCCCAAATGATTGGATCATGTGTAATTAAGTATGCAATCAATACAAAATTTATAGTCACCCACTCTAATGATTAATCTTTTGTAATGGTCGTATATTAAGTAATGATACTAATTATGATGATTTTAATCATATATATCAGATACTCCCTCCGTTTCAAAAGAGTGGCATTATTAAAAGTACAATTTTGTCTCTAATTAATACATTAAATGATTTGTTTTTATCTAGTAAATACATTAAATTAATAGGGTTAAAACTGGAATATTGTTTAAAATTTTGCATTGAAAATATAAAACGACACTCTTTGTGAAACAAAAATAAAACCTTAAAACGACACTCTTTGTGAAACGGAGAGAGTACTATTTAGCTTTTACAATGAAACCATTTCCAACCACTATTCATCCAAACACCAAATTTGGTGTTGTGAATATAGTTAAATTTGATATTTAGGTGAATAGTATTTTTTTCATCTCCAACCACAACACCAAATCTCACACTAAAAAAATAATATTTTTATTATTATATAATTAAAACTAAAATTTTTATTTTTAACAATTTTGATCAATACTAATTATTTATATAATAACTTAACTATAAATTATATATAACATTACATTCCGTACAAAAAAATTAGAATTGATACATTTTGAAGTTAAATATAAACTTCTTGATCCTTCAATTGCCTATGCTAAGCTAAATAGTTATGTATTCTTATTAATTATAATTAAATTTTCATATTAATTATACTTAACATTTCATAAATAATAAAATAAAAAATTATGATATATTAATTATAGTTATAAAATTTAATCAATTAGTAAATAATATCATATTTATATTATAATTAATAATAATAATATTATTATTATTTTAGAGTTCTGTGAATAATGTCACACAAAATTTGGTGTTATATTATTTACAAAACTCTAAAAAGCAAAATATGCCGTTACAAATGGAATTCCATTGGAGATGTGAGAACTCCATAATTGAAAATATGGAATCCGATTGGAGTTGCTCTAAAAGTGTATAACAATAGTGATGATTATGCATATTGAAACTAACCAATATACCATAAAAAAAAAAAAAAATTTATCATATTACACAAAATGAACCTTTTCTCTCTCCTCCTTTTCTCTCTCGAGCGAAATCAGATTTGAAACTTTCTCTTGCAGATACCTTAAAGGATCCTTCCGATCTCCCTCTCCGGCGCGCGTGGTGGCTCACCGTCGCCGGAGGAGGGACTCTGATGGCCTCCTCTTTCGTTTGTTAGGTGTTTTGTCTCAGTTCGGCCGTCGGCTCGGTGTGGCGTCAAAGTGAAGTTTCTCCGGTGTGTAGTCTTCGTTCGACGGCGACGGATTTCAGTGGCGTCGCTGGGGTTGCGGTGGTGGAAGGCGATCTCCTTGTGGTGATGCGCCTCTCTGCCGTTCGCGTCGTTCTATCTCGGTGGGGTTTGCTTTCTTTGGTGTTCACCGGCGTTTCCCTCCGACGGTCTCTTTTGGCTTTTCTTTGCGAGTCCTCGTCGCCGGCGGCGAGCTCTCCGATTTTCCTCGGTGGTGTAGTTCGTCTCTCCCCGGTTAAAGTCCATCTCTGCCTCGTTTTGTTCATAGCGGTGTTCCCGAGGCATAGGTGTGGTGGCGATGTAGGCTTTGATCTCCTCGGCTCCAGCGGCAGCGATTCGGACCTAGAGGACGGGTTCAGTCTCTGGTTTTGGTTTCGCAGGAGAGGTTTGGCTTGTGGCTAGCCTCGGAGTGGTGGCTCTCGTTTCTTCCGGCGTGTGTGGCTCCACCAACAGTGTCTCTCGACGGTGGTTTTAGGCGGGTGGCTCAGCGGCTGTTCTCTCACCATGTTCGACGAAGTTTCCGGTGCCGTCTTTTCACCGTTGTGGCTCGGGTTTCGCTGTGGGTGTGTGTTTGTGTTATCAGCAATTCTCAGCAGTTTCGCAGTTTGGTCTTGGTCTTGACTCGTGAGGACTCCGATCGTGGTTCGGTGTAGATAGTGGAGCCTTTCGAGATGTGTATTGTAGAGGCGCCGGTCTGTTGTCCGGTTAGATTGTAGCTGTGGAGGTTGGTCCCTATGGAGACTTCGGTTTCTACGGGAATGGTGGTTGGAAGTGACTTCTCCGATTACCGCTCAGACTTCCTTGTCACCGGTTGCAGTTTAGTCCGTTACGAATTTCGGATATCGCGTCAGTTTTCGGAGAAGCTGTAGGTATTTTTTCCGGTGGTTAGAGGACGGGCCTCGGAAGGACGCTCGTGGCAACTATGATGTAAACTCCAGTTCTTTGAGCTGCGGCAAAAACGTGATGGTCTGTGCTTTTGCACGTGATTGCTGCTTTCTCATCTTGTTTGGTTTCGGTTTTAATTTTCTTCTCTTACTTGCTGGATCTTTGGCTTTTTTGTGTTTCTGTTGTTTCTTTGTTGTTTTTGTGTGTCAGTAGATTTTGGTTTTCTGTTTTCTTCGTTGTATCTCTGTATTGTCTGTAAAAAAATCAAAAATTTGGTATAAAATTTAACATTTAACCAAAAAAAAAAAAGAAACATAAAATTTTAATCCTTAGCAGCCTTTTTGTTTTTATGAGAAGAGAAGATTTGAAATCTGTTTAAATTTTATGTCTATTCGTAGAGATTTTCTTAACCTTTTTTGCAGTTAAAACTCACAAATGTTTAAAAACACATGTGAAACTTTGGACTATATTTTCTTTCTTGATCAATCTAAGAGACAAAAATTAGTTTTTCTTTTTTATCTTCTAATCTAATGGTCACATAATCACAATTTAACTCCCAATTTAGAAATTCGAACCCAATCAGACTAGAAATGATGTTATACACAAAAAATGTTTTCGATACATATTATTTGTTGTTTTTAAATATGAATTTGTGTTCTGAGGTTTCAAACTTTCAATTCGGAAAAATATATGTTCGAACTTTGTTTTTGAAGATATTTAATACGAAATCATAATTTGAGCAGCATCTCTGGTACTATACACAGCAGCTTCATTTAACTATGTAGTTGACCGGAAACTTGGGCTAACTATAATTGTTAATGGGTAAAAAATGTGTGGCTTGCATTGTTTGAATCAAATTCTATTAGGCCTGTGCTACACCCCTAGAGTTTCAAGTCCATGTACTTGAGAGTCCTAACTTGTCATCAACACCCATTTACAAAAACGCTAAACGCGCCAAAATGTAAACGCTAAAATAGCAAACTAGAATATCCAAAGAAATATTTATTGTTCCTTCCTAAATTAAAAATAACAAAAGAAACCATAACCATCTTAAAAATGTCTGTTACTATGTACAGCCCACTTACTTCTTTAAACATTAGCCAAGATCAATGGACCTGGTGATGCAAACCTAACTTAAGAAGATATTTCTTTTTTTTTTTCTTCCAAATCTCTAAGAAAGATCAATACCGACAACTTTAGCAGGTTCTGCTCTTTCAGCCAAGTTATCACCTAGCTCCACGCCAAGCTGCCCTCTCTCCCCAGCCCCAAACGCATAGAGAGTCCCTGACTCGGCCATTGCAAATGTATGACCAGCCCAAGTAGTCGAGTTTGTCAAACTCACATGAACCACACGCTCTTTCTTCTCCTTCAACGACGTAACCAGCTTAGGGATCAGAGTATTCTCATCCACATCTCCCTGCTAATCTCCGGATATCAAGACCATTGACTCCATTCCAAAAAACCAAGAAAAGAAAAAAAAAACAAGAACACAGACTTTACCTGACCAAGATTGGCAGATTCACAGCCAAACGAGTAAACCTGACCATCATCAGAGACAACAAAGGTTGCATAATCTCCAGTGGCGACATGGACCGCTTTAACATCTTTTAACCCCTCTACAACCTTGGGAGCCGACTCTGGCTCTTCGGTACCGTGACCCAAGCAGCCATACCGGCCCCAACCCCACGTGCAGACTCTCCCATCTCTCCCAACTACAGCAGCATGCCATGTCCCTGCTGAGACCATAACCGGTTCCATCTTCAAGAGACTAAACTGCTCAATCAAGCGAGGCTGTGTTTCACTGGTTGCAATACCATGACCTAGCTTCCCACCCAAACCGCATCCAACAGAGTACACAGACCTACACAGAAGCAAGAAGTAAGCACATACAAATCGGATCAAGAACAGAGGAAACATTACAAAGACTCACATGCCCGTAGGTTGATATGCTAGAGCAAGAAGATAGCAAAAGCCAGCAGAAATTTGCACGACCGGGATATCCTCCAAGGCCCCCAACAAAGGATGAGGCAACATACAGTTAAGGTCGGTTCCGTGACCGAGTCTCTCATCTTTTCCCCATGATAATGTATAGACTCTGCCTTCTCTCGACAAAACCGCCGTGAAGTAATTCCCTATCGTGGCTTGAACCACGAAGATTCCGTTCAAAGACTTGACTCGCTTGGGAGTTGTGATGAGCTTAGTTTCTTGAACTTCTAATCCAGCTTCGCTAAACCAATCTTTTCCAAAAGCATAAACTTCACCAGCATCACTGATCAACATTGTTCTATCAGTGCTAACAGCTGCCTGAATGATCCGGATACCGTTAAGTGATCTGCAAACACAATGTACCTCACATTAACCTCAACTTTTCTGACTATTAGGCCAAATTTGAACCATCAAAGAAATGTGTAACCTGACTGGTCGAGGCTGCCAAGTGTCTTCAGTGGATCCCTGTCCGAGTTGTCCTGAACCGTTATATCCGAAAGAGTAAACAACGCCCTTTGATGTTACGGCGATGCTATGACCAGGACCTGCAAGTGCCTGTGATTTCTCGCGCCTGCAACCAAATTCACCAGCAAGCAAGAACCTTAGAACAAGCTTCCACGAGCCTCCGCATTTCCTTTTGATTTCTTGGCGTTCTTCCTCTCCCATGCGTTTAAATATCGCCCTCTTTTGGCATCTATCGAGAGCTGCAACTTCTGAGATGGAGAGTTCAAGGTCCGGAGAAAAATTTGCCGGCATTCTGAAAAACGAACATGTTGCCTGAAGATAAAGAATAACCAATCAGAATAGCATCAATCCACACGAATCAGAAAACATGAAAACAAGACAGAGCATTATCACTTCACTTGCCTCGAGTTTCGCAAGGTCCCGAGGACCTAAGTCACAAGTTGTGAGAACATGAAGGACAATGGAAGGACAAGAAGCCAAGAAGAACTCCCCAGGAGCAGAGTTCCCAAGGCATTGGCGTTTTAGACACATAAATGAAGGGAAAGGCAACTCCATAGCCGCGGAGATTGGATTCTCAGAGATGCTATGAAGTTGTAACGTAGCAGCAGGGCTACTACCATTTGATGTTGTAGTATCCATTAGGACACTGCTCCGGTTTTTGCAGAGCCCAAATGTTTTCTATAACTCACTAAATATCAGCAAAACCATATGATTAAACTAGTGCATTGTTCAGTCCTGTGATCTAAAAACTCCCTAATAGTCAAAATCTTCAGGCTTTTGTTATTATACATATAGTATAACAAAGGAGCTACCTTTGACGCTAAGAATTGATGAACACCGACCGTGAAATGATGGAAACTTGCGAGAGAAATGCTGTTCATGTTTAAGCCAAATAAGATCATCAAGATCGAGAATTGCAGTACAAAAACACAAGATCATTAGATTCAAACTTGATTTTAACAAAAACATAAGCAGTCTATAGTAAGAACAAACCCAGATCAGAATCATGGTTAATAAATATTAAGCGATCAGTCAAAAAAACCAAACACAAAATAGGATTCTCTGTTCTAGGAGATCGTGATCATGATCGTGATCCTCGATCAGGGATCATCAACATATATAGAAAAGGTTAAAGCAGAAGAAGGATCAGAAAAGACCCATAATTTCACCAGAATTGCATCGACGGTTCAAAGGGAAAAATTACCAGACTTTGGGACTCACAAGTTGGACCAAAAGAGAGAAAATGAAAGAGAGAGAGAGAGAGAGAGAGATTGTTTGCGGTGGAATATCACAGAGAAGAAAAGGAACGGACTTTCAATCTAAAATTTGTTCTGTTGTTCTTTCTCCGTGAATTTCTATAAAAAAGATTGTTCATTTGCCTTTTTTTTTTAATAATGGAAACGAAGAATGGATTGGGGTAAAGCTTCAATCTTTATGTATCTCTCTGCATTTTCCACGAAACGATTTTAGGTGTCTGCTGCTGCGTCCACAAATGGAAATAAAATACTTACAAGTCCACTTGTAAGCAAGCCCAAGTCCATTGTTTTAGATCATTTGCTATTAACTTTGTGAAAGAACAAAAAATGTGCAACAGAAATTATGATCTTTTTTTGGTCAAAAAATGTAAAATGAGTTAAAAAAAAAAAAAAAAAAAACACGTTTGGACGATATTAATTTTGTTGTAAAAACGCCTGATTTTTTTACCGTGATGTCATCTTTTTCTACGTAGATATCTAACTGAACGTTGTCTATTTCAAAACTGGTTTTTTTAATTCGATTTATAACCAAGTTCGAATTTTTCATCTCATATCCACTTATATAATTATCCATTTGTAACATCTAAACAACTCTAGTTTATTCTAATGAATACGAAAATGGTTCAAGTGATTATTAACCTATCCAAAATGCTAAATGATCCAAAATCTCTCCAAATTTTGACAAAATTCTTTAAAATATCATATTTTCTATTTGATTTTTACTCGAATTATTAAGAATTTAGGTGAGAATTCGGCTGACCTATTGGATGAAACAAACTACCGAGAAAGTAATACCACAAGTCGAAAACTCTGAAAATATGCTCACTGAGGCTCTTAAGCAAACCTAAGAGTGAAGTTAGTGCTGCAAGACAGGATGTGGGCAGGAGAGCGGCCAGTCCTCTGCCTCTAATAATTAAAAACGAAGGGAGTAATTACCTATTTACCAAACTAGCTAAGTCATATACGGAAGCTATTATGTTCAAGTGTTCATTTATGATTTCACTTCATAAGGCTATACTATTCAAGTGTTCAGTTAATAAGGCAACACATTTATTGAACTTTGCAGTCGTTTCACTCAGTTGCAAAAAGGAAATACATGTTGGTGGTACGCTCCGCTCCTCGGTCAGGACCGGTTAAAGACCGAGACCGGCCCAATTGACCCCGGTTTATGATGGTCTTAGTCGAAATGGGCCTGGCCTGACAGCGTGGCCCATGAGAAAGAAGCCCAACAACGAAAGGCGGTGAGAGCCGAACGAGAAGCCCTAGGACGTCTCCTCGTTCTTGTGCTATAAATAGTAGAATTGTTACTGTAGAAGGAATCTTTTTTGGACCCAGAGAATAGAGACCTGAATATTATATCGACTTCGTCGAGAAACCTCCGAACTGAACGAACTGTAATTGAGAATTGAATAAAATCTAATCAAGTTAATCTCTTTCGAACTCAAATTACCGGACCGACCTCAACTGTAATCAACAATACATAATTTCCTTTTATGCATTTATTGGACCATTGGTGAAAGTGAATTAAAATCAGGAAGAACAAATTCGTAGATACAAAACTGAACCGAAACAGGTTCAATCTAAACAAAAATGATGATTAGGGGATGCAAAACCAATTTGATTACTGAACAATGAACACTAAATAAGATTTTATCCGGTATCATTTGATTTTGCAAATCTAGATGAACAGTACCGGTAATTGTAAATCCATGTTTATTGCAATACCAAATATTCATGGCTTAATAATATTTATCTATTGAGATCTAAATGATAAATATAAGTGATTTCGTAATTTAACATTTAAATTTTATAAATATTCAGTACCAAAATTTTCTTTGAAGAAATACATGAGATAAAAATATCAAAGTCTAATGTTGATGGTATATACCGAAAGCACGAGAAAAGACGTCCTAAAAACGAATCGCAACACCCACTTGAAATGCAAAATTTGGATCTTACCATTGCGGCTACAAACATTTTAGTAGTCATACGATAGAGTGTGTTAACTTTGAAACAAACAATTATATGATTTACATTTGTTGGTTATAGTTATTTATTTAATTTATTCATATATTTTTTATCAGGTAAAATAAAAATTCAAGTAGCAATTAACAAAAATAAGATAAAGTTATAATGATAAATAATTATTTAATATGTATAAAAATCTAAAATATTTTTTTTTGTCGACTTTTCAAAAAAATCAAAATATTTAATAATTTGAAATGGGTGAAAATATTTTTAAATATTTAAATTAATTTTTCACTAATTGAAAGTAAAAAATACATGCAAATAAGAGGAGGAAGAAGCGAAGTGATAAGAAAAAGGTGAGTAGGACATAGAATCTGTGGCTCAAATCTCACCAAAATCTCAAAACTCTCTTCTCCTTGGATAAGAGAAGTATCCAGAAGCCTTTCATTTCCACTTGATCCTCCTTCTCTCCTTCCTCCTATAATCCCAAAACAAAACCCATCTCTCAAACTCCTCCTCAAACCTCTCTCTCTCTCATCTCCGATCAGAGCTCAGGCAAATGGCGGCAACAATGGCGACATCAGCCAAATGCATGTCATCTCCTCCTAAACCCCTAAACCAAACCAAACCCATCTCTTCCAAACCCTTCATCTCCCTCCCAACCCCACCAAAACCCACCGTCTCTCTCGCCGTCACAAGCACCGCCCTCGCCGGCGCCGTCTTCTCCGCCCTCAGCTACTCCGAACCCGCTTTCGCCGCCCACCAGATCGCTAACCTCGCCGCGGCCGCCGCCGTGGAAGGCAGCGACAACCGTGGCTTAGCTCTCCTCCTCCCGATCGTCCCGGCCATCGGATGGGTCCTCTTCAACATCCTCCAGCCTGCTCTTAACCAGGTCAACAAGATGCGCGAGAGCAGAGGAGTCGTCGTTGGTCTTGGCATCGGCGGTGGTCTCGCCGCGTCCGGGCTTTTGACTTCGCCGCCTGAGGCATCGGCGAGTGTGGCTAACGAGATGGCGGCGGTGGCGGAAGCTGCGGCGAAAGTTGGAGACAACAGGGGACAGTTGTTGTTGTTTGTGGTTGCTCCGGCTCTGCTTTGGGTTCTTTACAATATATTGCAGCCTGCTTTGAACCAACTCAACAAAATGAGGTCTAAATAAAAAATAAAACTTTTTATATTATCTTTGTTGGGATTCAAATGTAAGATTAATCCTTTGTTTTATGGACAGTTTTATGTTTAAATTTTGGGACAATTATCATCCTTGTTTGATCTCGTCTGCTACTACTATATACTCCGATTTTTAACTGTAACTAGGTTGCGCTTATAAGATCATTTGTCCCTATATATACATGGTTTTGTTGTTTCAAAATCATCATAACCTATCGTAAATACTAATCTAAGCCAAAACATAAACTTTATGTCCTTGGCTATAACAATGTTCAGTTTGTAAAATGCATTGCAAACTGAACATTGTTACCTCCCATTCCTCTTGATTCCTTTGTAAGCCATATTGAAAGGTTTCACCTTCTCAAGGTACTCTCGCAGAGACATTGGTGGCTTCTCATTAATGTCAGGATTCAATTTTTGCTCACACTCAATCTAGAGACACAGAAAACTTGAGAGATTCAACATATATTTTCATGCAAAGCCAAACAACAAAAAGGCACTTTCTCCATCGGTTCCTTGAGCTGAAACACCAAGTTCACAATGAAAGAACCAAAGACCTCAGAGGCTGTTAAAACTTGATAAACTCTGAGAATCATACAGGCCTATTAAGTTAACAATCGTCTACATTTCAAAGCTACCACAAGTTATGAATCATATCACATGTCCTACCACATTGCTTCTCGTTGAAAATTCAGTATCAGCATTTTCTTGCATCAAGTTGTAAACTTTACCACGAGATTGGTTTCATAAGCATCATGAGCAGTATGATGCAAATCCCTTTCGCATATACCCTTCATAAACCTTGTGCTAAATGTTTCATAATCTTAGGTCCCATTTTTCTTATCAAACTTCTCTCCATCGACAGAATCTCCAACGAATATATTCAAAGCCTCTTGTTCAGCTGAGAAACCCGGAATTGGATTCATGGAAAAGAATAGAAATTTAAGATGAGGAATCAGAAGAAGGAGATGAGAAGATGGAAGAACTTTGAGGTTAAAGGTGTGGCTGATCAGATCAGAGACGCCACTCTCTGATCTTCTCTCCATATCATCCATCTTCACTGCCGATTGCGGAACCTCGTCCACGGCCGCGGCCACGGTCAGCGACGTCGGAGGAAGAGGAGAAATGAGATTTGGGTTGTTGTTGGATGAGAAAATGGAATCTGTTTGGCTATGGATGAAAGCATAATGCCATTAGGGTTTGACAATCTTCTTCCTATAGCAGCACCTCTCATCTGGTGATTTCTTCAAGCAAGAATTTCTAAATACAATGGTCAATGGCGATCGAAAATTTCCGATTTCGAAGGTTTTTTAATTTTCCGTTACTGTGTGAAAAATGGGGGTATTTCTCACGTGACGCCTTTTCAGATGGATCAATTATTGCATAATTTCACTCCCGTCCCTAATGTTTTTCATTCCAGACGAAAACGGATCTATCTTTTCGAATAGATTAAGAACCCCCAATAATTGGAGCTATTAGGCAAAGTTATGCTTGGCGAGTAAGCATCATGCGTCGACATATAGCTAGTGCATGTAATTTTCTTGTTCTGGCTCCAATAGAGCATATGATGTAAATGAATAAACCGGTGGTTAATTAGATTAAGTAGACCCTCATTACCTTTCGTTAGTCACCTAATGTCGTGTGTTTGACTGTTTAACTATTAATGAATTGATGTGTGTAACAAGCTAAATTATCCAATACCAATGGCCACATGGCTTGGTTTCCTAAATATAGGTGAAATACGTTACTTGTAAATTGTAATAACCTCTCAAAACATTTCATTACTTTTTCCAACATTCAATTTTATTCAAATAAATAAATAAAAAAAAAGTGAGGATATCAACGATTCGTGTACGTTAGTCTTTTGAATTTTAGAACACGGAAACAATCTGGGGAACATGGAGAAACTAATAATAGCTTACAAGTCTTACAAAGATCAAGAACAGTAACTTTCAAGATACCAACTGCAAGAAGAAGAAAGTCTTGCAGTAACTTAAGCCCTGACAAAAAGTTTTCATTCCTTTTTCCTGGAGTCTTTAAGCAGACCCTTCTTCCGGATCTGGAGGCACCTCTTAATGTTAAAGGATTCAAAAACGCTCTCGGGCAATGCAGAGACAACAAAACCCATGAGGGCATGAGGCCAGTACGGTGTGCACCGTGCTTCATAGCCTACAAAACGCAGTGCTGCCTTTGCGTATCCCTCTGGAGATGCCACCAAGAAAGATGCTCTTCTTATTGATGTCATCTTTGTCGCAACATACAAGGGAACCTATGAAAACAGCCACCGAAATTTTAGACATATAGTCTCAAGAAATCAATAAAGTTATTGACCAGTGTGACCCATTAAACTTGTTTTGGTTATATTTAACTCCAAACTCAGCTATAACAGACATGGAAAAGCCCACAGATTCTACATCTGAAACAATTAATCATCTAAGATCACGACATAGATTCCCTAGCTTCCTAGTTTTAACATTCCTCAATAGATAATCAGAAACGAGATCTCACATCAGAGAAGTATTCAGAAAAGAGAAATGTAATGCAATAGTTCCTCATTAGCTTAAAACTACAAATCATCAACCTTCTAGGTCCACTAAAGAAACAGAAACAGGGCCAGAAAACCATGAAAAAATACAGCATTCCTCGTCTTCTAGAATGTTTTTTAACAAATGGGCCAAATGATTTAGCTTTGATAACCTATGATCCATCTGCAATACCATTTTTTCTTTCTTACAAAGATAAGATCGGGATTACTCATTGCTCAATCCTACTTTCGGTTCTTACGAATCTACACTTACAAGCAATACCATCTACTGTCTTAAACAAATCCCAAATCTCTTTCTTCCAGCATAAAATCTCTAACAAAATCAATCCAAAGACACAAAACGAAGCAGCAATGATTCAGGAAAGCTCACCTGGCATTGAACATCAATCCCACTCTTCTTGTACTCAACATGGAGACACCTTGTGAACTGATCCACGTACCTGAGACAGAGAAGAAACAAGCATGCAAACAAACAATGTTACTTCTCAATACAACTCGAAGCATCAGGTTTCAAACAAAGAACGGTTCTTGATCTGGATGCCTTACGTTTTGGCGCCGGCATAAACAGAGTAGAAAGGATACGAAGGGATAAGAGCAGCAGCACCAGAACCCATATTGATAATGGCTCCTCGCTTCCTCTGAAGCATATTAGGCAACACAGCCTGAGTAACCTTGGTGGTTCCTTCAACGTTGATCTTGATCAAGTTATTAAGCAAATCTTCATCAACCTCGTGGAAGTACTTAGCGTAAGGATACGACATCCCAGCGTTGTTAATCAGAATACCAATCTCCAAACCCTCGATCGTCTCCTTGATACGCCTCACGCCTTCATCGATATCTCCGGAGAAATCCATCACCACCGTCTTGATCTGGGTATTACTGTACTTGGATCTAATCGAATCGCAGACATCGTTGAGCTTGTCGGGGTTACGAGCGACGAGTACGAGGTTGAGACCTTTCTGGGCTAACTGAAAGGCGAAAGCTTTACCGATACCGTCGGTGGGTCCGGTGACGATGGCCCAGGATCCGTATCGCCGGAGATTCTTGCCGGGTCGGAGGAAGTAGATGTAGAAAGATCTGAGGAGGGAGAAGACGAATTTGAGGATGGAGATTGAGCCGAGGGCGAAGAGGACGAGGAGCCAGGTGGGCTGGGATTTGAAGTAAGTACAGATCTCCATGAGAGAAAGAAATGGTTTTTCAGTCAAATGAGAAGAGAAAATTAGGGTTTTTTAAGGGGAGAGAGAGAGATGGGAAGTGGGGGAAGAAGAATTGAATTCGACGGAAGAGACGAAGGTGGGTAGAAGTAGATGAGCAGCAAACCACCGGAATTAACTACTCTCTCTTCTTAACCTTCTCTGATTTTATTTTTATTTTTATTTTTCTGTTGTGTCGTCTTTCTTAAATTTCGTTCATGTGAATTTGGAAACTTGGGACCTACGATGTTGACATTTCTATTTACATACCCATAAATGACAAACTCAAGCTCACATGGTGACTTGATAGACAAAACACAAGGATTCAAATGGTGAAAGCTGAATAAACGGTTTACTTAAGCAAACGAATGTAAATATTTGTTTTTTTATGATGTGTTCAAATCAAATGTGAACAATGTAACTGGTCGGAGAATCAACATTTCTGATGGAAGGAAAGGTGGATCTAGTTCTAATGTCGGCAAAGAAGTGATCCTTGGGCACACTCAGCAATTTGCTGAGAAGATAAGCGACTTGAGGAAAACAAACAAAGGAATGATGTCAATCGTCTCTGCATACATGGCTTTTAGGGACTAAATTAATCTCGTGTATATGAACTAAGCATAAATGATTGATATGATGAGTAAGTTGTTTCTATATTCATAGACTAATTTTTTAGCGATCGAATGAACTGATATGGCTTTATTTTGTTGGAAGCAGCTAAGATGTATTTATAAGAGAAAACAGATTTTGGATTTTGCTAATTATGAGACTAGGAAACCGATGGATGTGTGGTTTTGACAGGTGCGACATAATGTAATTGCATCAAGGTAGTCTGTTTTGATGTCCATTATATCTAAAATTGCGTTTTAACACCTTTGTCGCATGAAACATTTAATGCTTGTTTAGTATTTAGGAGTTGTGCTATGGTTCTTTTGTTGATGATTCTTTAAAAAGTGAGCATTTTACCTCGGCTCCTAGAAATTTTCTTCCTGTTGGATGGGATTTGTCGTTGTAGTCGAATGTTTCATCAGCTTTTTCATCACTTATCAATTAATAAACACATACAAATCATATTATTCGTAAAAATAAAACATGAAAACATTTGACAAACACATGAAGAAGAATAACATTGTGCCTTAAATAGTTCCCCTTCATAACTTACTTAAATTTATCAACATGATGATTATTTTGACATTGAAAAAATAATGCTCAAATGATGCATTCTATGCAGACTCATTTTAATAATATTGACAAAGTATGAAGTATGGACCTTTTGATATATGTTTTTAGTACCAATTTTCATTTGAGCAAGTTTTGAGCATGACTTTCCTATAAATTGGATATCCCAAGAATTTTGGCGGATCAGAGCTTTGTTGTTGTGGGCTGCGTGTCAGTGGCTCTTTCGTCATGGAGAATTGACTTTAAGGTGGTGGTAATATGTGTTAGTGTTGTATACTTATTCATCACCGATAATACTCAAATAATGCATTCTATGCAGACTCATTTTAATAATATTGACAAAGTATGAATATAGACCTTTTGATATATGTTTTTAATACTAAAATTTTCATTCGAGTAAGTTTTGAGCATAACTTTTTGGACATATTTATTTCTAAAATTTGGTAAAGAAACATAGAATCTCAAGCAGATGACAACAACTCTAGAGAAGGAAGCGGTTCTACCAAAGGAAGCAGCTCTGCAGAACAAGTGGCCATTTCAAAATCCTCCAACAAGCTTCCCCCATCTCTAAAAGAAATCTGTGATGAACAATTTACTGAGAAGGTCTTTGACTCAGGTAATCTTATGTGCTTTTACTTCTCTTGCTAGAAATGAATGTCTTTGTAGTCCTTTACTGATTCTTGAGCGGGTTTGTTTGGTTTCTATATGAATCTCCTCATAGCTATTACTTGTATATAAAATAAATGTAGTTATTCATTATGTTGTTAACCTGCATATTCTTACAAACAAAACCTTAGAGTTAATGGAATCTTTCGTTGAGTTGAAAGCTAAAATTTGTCATAAAAATGAGAGTATATCTTTATATCGCTATATAGAATTGTGCACGGAAGATGTTAATCCCCCAAGTAGTGCTTTTACCACCCCTAGTGGAACACTATACTGATACATTATCCTGTCATTTTTGTCTCAATGAATAATGACACGTTTTTTAATTCATTGCGGTCTTAGTAAACTGTTTGATATACTTTTAATTTACAACAAGAGCTGCATAATTCCCCTATTTGATATCCACATGAACTTCTCGAGATGTTCTGATTCAATTTGCCTTAAATATTCTGATAAAATCTGCAAAAATATTATACCACTATAGCGTTATACACATTAGGGTTCAATTTCATGTATGCTTTCCCGTAGACTGTCTTCTTCAACTGTTATGCCTTTTTCAACTTTCGTTTAGCCGACTGTGATTAAAAAGGAGAATTCTGATAATACATACTCAAATATAGAATATTTACAAAAAACAATATTATTTTGCACTTTTACTAGAAAATATTTCTATTTTTTTTATTAAGATTTAGGTCTCCATTTATAAATTTTTTGTAAAATTATTTTTAAGCAGTGGTTTTGTCATCTTTCACCACAAAACATGATAAACATTTCATCTAAAGTGTGCTAACAATTCGGTTGTCTTAAACATATCACCTAATTAACTCTTAATTCTAGACTTCTAGTTAATGGCCATATATTTCCATTTTGTATGTGTGAACTTTACTGGACTAGCCTTTAACTCTATCAACTCAATTGTATTTGAATTAAAGTTTTGTAAATAAAAAAGTCACTATACTTATTAATTGGGCTAAAGACAAATTTAGAAGCTGTATACACAAAACTTAACTGTTATTTCAATTTTTTTATCACACTAAATATTTGGTCGAAACTATAAAAATTATTTGGAGTCACACATGTATAATCAATGTGTTAGGATCACTATTTAAAATAATCAAAACTTATATGATTATTTTGATATTAAAACAAAGACTAAGGACATAAGTGTTATAAAAAATTAATATAAGGATGCATTTAATAATTTCTAATTTGATGACGAGCCGAATTAGAAATTATTTCTCTATATAAATAGAAAGGTTATGGTCTCTATGATAACTCTAGCAATAAATACAGAAATTATCCGCATCTCATTAACAGAGACATACAGTTATTCAGTTGTTGTTGTAGAAGAAGTATTCCTAAAATTCAGAGCATAAACCATAGATCCAAAAGGTACGCTTCTGCTTCTATTCTTATTAATTAGAAACTGTCATGTTATATTAGTTTAGTGGTTTATAAAAAAATAAAACCTTTCAGAAACTGCAACATAAAACTTGTATAGGCTAGAGGAATATTATTTTTTGGTAAAAGGTTAAGTTTTAAACCATTTTCGATTTTTTACAGGAGACAGAGATACAATAAAAAAACAGATTAACCAAAAAACTACAGTAGATTAACGAAAAACGACAAGAATAAAACAGAAAAACAGCAGGCTAGAGGAATATGGTGTTGAATAATGTAAACTTTATAGACAACTTTATACGTCATGTGTGTTGAGTTTAATATCACCTTCCACTTGGAACAATGGTGTTGTTGCCTTGTTGCTGAGCTTGCTAAGGTTGGGTTGTGGGTTAGTTGAAGACAGTGGCGGATCTAGAAAAAAAATTAGTAGGGGACATAACTTTATAAATAAGAAAAACAAATTTTAGTTGGGGGCACTTTTTATATTTTAACACTACATTAAAAATATTTTAATTAAACATATCTAAATTATTTAAGAAAAATTAAAAAGTAGTAAGGGGCACAGGACTCTGTCCGACGTAAGGTAGCTCCGCCCTTGGTTGAAGACATAGTGGACATGCAGCAAATATAGTTCTTTCATATTTAAATTTATCTACATTTACATAATTTTGCATTCATTATACAAATATACTGTATTGTATAATATATGAGATAATATACTTTATTTTTGAAAATATATACAGTAGCTTTTTTTTGTCAACTAGCTTAATTTTGTCAATAGAGTTTTTTAAACTCATTTGTTTTTTGAACTTGAAATAAAGGTTCGTGAAATTGTGTGCGACACCACTTTAACAAAAGCAAGTAGCCAAAGGAGAAAAGGTGAAACCGATGCCTTTAATTTTCCGGAATGTAGAAAAAGAAAAAGCTAATCCGAATATATAAAGAAAGACAAATTCTCTGTGACCATTCCATTGCACAGACTCACAACTTTATAGAGCAAAAGCAAAAACAATGTGGAGTTTCACCTTTTTTTCTCACTGCATTCTCATCACACAGTTTTTCTTTCTTTTCTCGTGAACCTTAAAGCTTTTGTTTTAGAGCATCGATGTGTGCGTGATCTTCAATGGGTTTATGCTCAGCTCAACTAGCTGTAACATGTTTGTTCATAGTAGTACCTCATGTTCTGTCTCAAGTCGCAGGTACATTCTTGCCCATAATCTGTTTGTTTAATTGCTCCAAAGAACTCTTCTTCTTGATGTGTTCAGTGTTGTAGAACATGTTTTTGATGTCCAATTTCAAAGTATTATCTTTAGGTTTAGTAAACAAGGGTTGCCTCAAAGTCTCCAATTTTCGACTGTTGTTAAATTAAAAATGTCCACATGAAAGATTGGTGCAATGGGATTTAAGCGAGACTCTTTCTTGTCGAGCGTTTTGCTGTAATTAGTGGGAAATGATTGTAATTTTGATGAATGACTATATTTTGCAGAGTTTGTAAGTATAGATTGTGGTGGCTCAAGTAACTACACGGACCCGAGAACTGGACTAGGATGGGTTTCAGATTCAGAGATTATCAAGAACGGAAAGGCAGTAGCTTTGGCAAGTACCAATTTGAACTCGATGCAATACCGTAGCAGGAGAGATTTTCCAACGGATAATAAGAAATATTGTTACAGACTCAGCACCAAAGAGAGAAGGAGATACATTGTCAGAACGACATTTCTTTACGGTAGCTTGGGAAGTGAAGAAGCCTATCCAAAGTTTCAACTCTACTTAGATGCAACGAAATGGGCTACAGTGACAATTCAGGAGGTCTCTAGGGTTTATGTTGAGGAATTGATTGTAAGGGCAACTTCAGGTTATGTGGATGTGTGTGTATGCTGTGCTATCACCGGCTCTCCTTTC